AAAAACGTAATTAGAGCTGTCATTAAGTACCTCTGTTTAAAATGATGTTTACCAAAGATATACACATCGACTTGGTGGAAACATGGCGGGTTTGTGGGCCATATTCTACAGTTGCATGCTGGGCCAAGGAGTTTAAGCTTGGCAAAACATCCACGGAAGATGAGCATCGCGAAGGACGTCCATCCACATCTTTCACTGAAGATAACGTGAAAAAAGTCGAAGATGTCGTATTGGCAGATCGAAAAGTGACCATCAGGCATATAGCTGCGGTCACAGGGATCTCATATGGCAGTGTTGAAATAACCCTTGTGAGCGAATCACACATGAAAAAGGTCTCTGCGCGTTGGGTACCGAGAATGTTAACCGACGAGCAAAAGAAAAAACGAGTCAACATTTCGAGGATGAATCCGAAAGGTTCTACTAACAAGCAGATCAGAAAAAATGTTTGTTACGTTCGTGACCATGGACGAGGCCTGTATCCACCATTTTGATCCGGAAACCAAAGAACAATCAATGGTTCGGAAACGAGCCTCATCACCGACGCCGAAGAAATTCAATGTATCAATTTCGGCGGAAAAGGTTATGGCGTCCGTTCTTTAGAACGCTGAAGGAATAATTATGGTGGAATATTTGAAAACGGGAGCCACTATTTCGGGCTCCTACTACGCAGGGCGAATAAGAAGATTGCGGGATGCTATTAAGAAAAAGACGCGCCAAACTGCTAGCCTGAGTGCAGTTTCACCAACACAACGCCCCAGCTCATAAAGCTGCAGTTGCAATGGCTGCCATTCAAGCAACGGGATTTAACTGCTCGAACACCCGCTCTATTCGCAAGATCTAGCTACCAGTGACTTCCATCTATTTCCTAGGCTTAAGGAACACATTCGAGACAAGAAATTTGCACACGACAGCGAAGTGATGGACGCTGTAGAGGCTTTTATGATTAAGATAAAAAAAATCTTAGAGAAATTTGGGTTTAGAAAAAAGATATTAAGAATAAATGTATTGACTTGTTAGGAGACTATTTAATACAGGCTATTTCTTAATCTAGCAAGGAGAACAGAACGTCACCTTCACTAGTGTTTTTTTCCACCTAAATTTAAAGCTTTCTCACGTAAGATTTTATATGTACTACAAGTTAAAAGTTTTTAATAAATTATTGTTATGTTATTGTTATTTTTTTAACCACAATCAGCGGGTTTAATATTCCTTATAATTACTTTTGGATCACCCATCGTACATTACATTTGTATTTAAAAAAAAAAAGAAGAGTGGTATGGGTATAATTAAACTGACTTTAGTTAGTATAACTAGTTTTGAGTATTAAACCAATACTCAAAGGTAACTAGGAAATAAAAATGTATTTTTAATTTTTAATATTTTTATTACATACAGACATAAATGACATTTTTACACAAGTGATAGACTCTACAAATAGTAACCAATAATACTGTATACATAACTCATTCATTGCATATTGTAATCAAACACTTATCTCTATAAATTTATAAAATATGTGTTGTAATTAGTTATTTTGAAACAGTTTTATAAATATACACGCAAGCCATTTTATTTAGTTAAAGAGTAAGCTATTTATTTAGTTAAAATTAGGACTTATCATGTAACGAAAATAGTAAAGCTACTGAAGTTAAAGCGTAGTGAATAAATAGTTGTAGCAAATAACGTTTGTGAATTAAAAGCTCCTTACAGGAAGTGATTTGTTGTGGATAAGAAAACTGCAAAAATATTAAAATAATGTACTGTCTCATGTCTTTCCCCGTCAATTTAATAAAAACACTATTTTTAATAATAGATAAAACCTCCAAGTGTTTCAGATAGTCATCCTATATCTTGCTGCCCATTGACATCAATCTCCAATGTTTATTCAAATAAATTGATTTCAGGTACAAAATAATTAAAACATATTAAAATGTTTATACTTAGTAAACTAAAAGGTATAAGGATGAACGAAAGGATTTAACATGTACATTATACCGGGGCGACACCCTATTTCAAAATAGCAAAATATAGTGATTACGTTCGCAATGTTGAACATACTAGTTTTTGTTGCTATTTATTTTTATTTCTTTACTATATCTAAGAAAATATTTAAAATAAGGATTTATATTATTGTTTGACATAAAAATTGTTTTCTAAATCAAATGATGATGATTATTATATTAAACTGCAAATATTCGTATAATAATAACTAAAAACTTCATCATAATGATGATGATGAAATTTTACCACAGCGCCACTTACCGGGTCCAAATTTGAATGTTCATCAAATTCTGTCCAGCCGTTCTCTCAAATGATGATCATGACACATGCGGCAATGGATTTTTATTTATATAAATTTACCACTTGCTTAGAGGAAAATAAAACCATCGACTATGTTCAACAAAGCTTTGACTGCTTGAAAGAAAATATTTCGGAATCATAATATATATATCCCGTGAGTATGGTAAATATGACAGAAGAAAATGAAGCAGGAGATAGGCTACAGTATCTTCCTAATAACTTATTAAAATAATAAAAAAAGTACGGTTGCTGAATCACTTGCAATAAGAGGGAACTATGGCAAATATTCCTCCCATGTTCGACAGATATCTTGAGGGGGCAGAGAGGAAAACGGGTAACACGTTCGTAATGAATTTATTGGTAGTTGTGATCTAGCGACAAGAAATCTTTAGTTTGTGAACGTCAAAAGCCTATATATGCCTAACCTCACAATGGTTTGTTTATTTTGTACGCAAGCGTCAAACTACTAGCTCTATAGTTTTTAAACGTCAAAAATATGTGTCATTATATAATAAGAATAAATTATATTACTTGAATTTAAATCGAACTTTCGATCCTAATCTGATAAAAATAATATACGCACTACGGGAGAAGTGACAAGGCAATCCACATTCTTATATCGTTACCGTTTCTTCAATATATGACAATAGCACGCGGGTTGCAATGTTATACTGTCCTCCCTAGTGGCGTAATATACTATTTCTAACTGAACACAAAACTAATTTTTTTTACAAGAATTTCTATAAGTATTTGAGTTTTTACCTTTTATAAATGTTTCTAGAATTATACGTAACGATAATTGTGTGTCAATGCACTATATTTTTATTGATTATAGGACGAAACTCCTTTGTAAGGAACTCAAAACTGTATTTAAGCACAATATTTTTCTTTCAATACGATTATCAGATCTATAAATATCACTCTTCTATATGAAACTGTTAATGCTTATGCATTTTAAAATTATCCCTATAATTATTCGCTTTATGATACTAAAAGAGATTTATCTAATACAATCAAACAATAAATGTTATTTATAAACGATGATTGATATTTTCAGAAAATCGATGCAAATTTTACAATTTATTAAATGGTTAATGATTTCTTATATTTACGCGAACACTACACATTGATTAAAACTACTTTTACGTATTTTATCGCATTTAATTTATTTAATATTTATTCACGAACTCACGGGGGACTGAGGTGACTGTAGAAGGTACTCCGGGTTAACACTGACATCGGGAACCTCAGTCACCTCAGTCCACCGTGACCATCATGGGTCCCCGAAATGTCAGGTGTTAAAAATTAAGTAAATAAAAGGTGATAAAATACGTAAAAGTAGTTTTAATCAATTAAGAAATGGTTTGCAATAATTGAATATATTTTTAATTTTAAAAGTTAAATATAATATTTGATTTCAATCAGTATCAATATTTTTAGGCTTTACAATTTATTACGCATAAATGTTTTGTATCGATCATCCTTTACTTGGAAAACCTTTTGTATACACAATGCGTAATATTAAATTGTGCATTAAAACTATGTAAAGTGCCCTTGTTTCTGGTATAAATTAACTAACTAAATTTGTAAATAGTGAGCGTCGTGTAAAAGTTATTTAAGTGGACGTACATTGTAAATAAGCTTTTAAATAAATAGAAAGTAAAGTATTACAATCGTCAAAAAGATGTATTCTAGCTTGTGTTACACAAATATTCTCCTTCTCTTGTTTGTTTTTAATATTTAGGAGGATTTAGTTTTAAAATGTATTCGTATCTTTTAACAAAATAAAAGCTAAACTTTAATTTTATAACTGACTTTCTCTTAAATAAAACTTAAAGCTATAAATAACATTATAAAAACGGTGGACTATTCGTAACTTTAACTATCTATTATAATTTTTATAATTTAATAGGTGATTTTTTTATTTGTGCGCTAATGGTTAATGACCGTGTTACAAATTCTTTGAATCACTGACATAAGAATTGAGTTACCTGAATTATGTCACATAATTCAATTAAATATTAACCTTAATGTTTTACCAAAATTGTACTTTGCTAGTAGTAAAAAAAAAAACACTAGCAACCGTCTTTTAACTTAATAGTTTTAAGTGTACAAGCATATTATCCTAATAAATTAAACAAAAGTGACTCAAAAAATTTTTGCATATTATCCTAATAAATTAAACAAAAGTGACTCAAAAAGAATCTAGATCACAAAAAACTATCGTTGGGACAATTACGTGGATTACTTTGATTGATTTGCTGTATTATATTGCTTAATATAGACTACAGATTTTTCCTCGAATTGTTTTTACCATATGAAAGTATGGAGCTTTAGTACCGTATTGGTTTGCAAAACTGGTTAGTTTGATTGAGACTCTTACATTCAACAATATAAATCAAAAATTGTTCTATATATTATTTAATTTGAGGTTGTCGATTTTTCATGAATTGATTATTAGTTTCAACAAACCGGTTTCGTTGTGGACAACACTGTGGTTACTGGTGTCTTACCACGTTTGGGTTGCTAGGTTTCTTTTCTGAAAAGTTATTAAGTTAATTTATTACTATATAAAAACATGTATTTATAACATTAATCAAAGTAAACGACTAGTTTCCAATTAAGTATCAAACTCTTCTTATTTTTAAGGGAATGTATCAAAATATTGTATATTGGTCAATACTCACTTCAGGCCTTGGCTATGGGTCTTGGTTGGGGCAGTACAGTGTTGGCTGCCTGTGTACACCTGCAGGGAAAATAGAATTTAGAAAAAGGAATTTTTGTATTATTTGATATTAACTTGATAAGCCTAGGCTTTGCTAAGAAAAATTGCAATAAATAGTGTATTGCAGTTTTATTTAATTTTATGTAGGGTGGAATTCATTACTACACCCTTTTTGCATTAGGTCTGTGGAATTACCTAGAAGTTACTATCTGTTTCAACATTTTGGATATTTATCAGCTTATGAAAATTTTCTGTCTTATTTCGGTTTCGACAGAGTTAATGCATATTGATAATAAGCTTAAGGTACATTAAAATTTCTCCTTTATTTAAAAAAATATTATAATATGATCTTATGACAATTTCTCCTTTATTTAAAAAAATATTATAATATGATCTTATGACAATATAGCAGTAAGATGAACTAAGCGACTAGAAGTTTTAGTTCGAGAGACATCAGATTATTTCTTTGTGAAGGCGCCGTGAAGACTCGGTAAGGGGCGGCCACGGAAGAAGATTGTAAAAAGAATGTAGTAAATCACCGTGTAGTGTTGGCGTAAGTGGATCCACCGTATATTATGCTGGATCGATGAACAGCGTCTCCCTAATAAAATAAAAATCAAGTTGTCATCCCGACTGGCCAAGCATGGCAACTATGCAATTTATCCCCCCAATGAGGTAATCTACGGGAGGGTCCATTTTAAATAGTAACCAGCTTTAAGTATTCCATTTTAGTCTTCAGGGGTTAGTCTTCAACGCATCTGCATTTATGATTGTTAACCTAGGAGAGACATAAGTTGTCTGAGGTCACAGAATCTATTTATCATCAGAGTTTCCGTTTTTCACCGTTGCTTGTATAAAAAGGAAATGACCTGCATATCGGTGCGTGTCGTGCGGCTCCGGGTAGTCAGGGTCCGGCGGGGGAGCTCGCGGCCGGACCGTGTCGTCTCCCGGCAGGCAAGTTTCCACCATTGCCTCCAGACAATTCACGAACAGCTCGCTGCTCTCCGCAGTGCACTGATTCTGAAAATAAAATCAATACTAATAATAATGTGAACATACTAAACGACCAAGTCACAGTTCAAAACTGTTAGATAAATGATCATTATGTAATATTACTTAACAATCTCCAAAATTAATATTGAATATATAATAATATGAATCCATTTCAAACTACCATCACACATTAATTATTCTAAAGTTGAGTCACAATATAAAAGCGCCTACACTCGACGCTCCCGGCAGTTGATTACGAACAGTGGTGCTGAGAAGTGTATAAATAGTCAAGTCTATTGTGAAATAAGGTGATTCTAAAGGTTATGAGTAAAGTTAAATTAATATATAGTCTTCTTTGCAAAAGTAAAGTACATTGTGTTATAAATAATTATATTATACAATTTAAGAGTGAAATTAAACAACGAACATAGTGATTAAACAGTTAACTAAGTGAGTTGTCGTGGTTTTATTGGAAATAAGCTGACAAAACCCACTGAAACAAGTTGAATGTCAGTAACTTAGTCATATCAGTGTCTTTTGGCACAGCTACCCCAGAAGAAGGGAACGTTAGCCATTTTATGTTTCTCTGCACTTTTGCGGCTAAAAGTAGCCGTTTTATAATTCGTATTAATCAAAAGGAGGGCCAAGCCTGCAGCGGAGTGATCGAAGATCGATCGATATCGTTATTTTATATTATATGGAAATTGAGAACTACACGTAATTAACAAGCGCATACTTCTGTGTATTTGTAAAGTTAGAAAATTATTAGAAAACAAAAAAAAATCGGATAACTTATTGTTATTTATTGTAATAAATGTAATATGATCTTCGCGAAAAGAATAATTGGCGTTTGCTTGGAGCGCGTTGTGTCAATGATAAATAATGAAAAACTATTCGTTTAAAAAAAAGAATCTCATTATTACGATATAATTGTGTTTTATTACCAATAGTAATTGAAGAACATTGACAATAGCTTTAAACTTTCTACAATATCTATTTTAATTTATTAAAAAAATAACATTACCCTCGAGAAAGGTCCAGCAAACCGCCATAAGCCACCGAAGCCGCAGCTTTGCATGTAATGCAGCTGTTGCTGACTCGCGTCCTCCGAAGCTATCATGTTCTGGATAGTATAAAGAAAAAACTTAAGTTAAAAAAGCGAAGTTTGAAATTGATAACAATATTGTTTTGAACAAGTCTTTATTACACACATATTTTGATTTGCAACTTTGAATTTGACTTGACATTTATGGATTTTGGCATACTCGTAACTTTTACGAGCAGATGGGAATGGATAAAAAAGAAACGTAGAAATATATCTCTACATGCCACACTCAGTTGCTTGATAAATAATTAACATGTTTAAATGTATAGATTTTAAAGAGTTAATGTTTATTACGCAACTGTGATAAACTTAGAAATGAGGATATCCGCAGTAGAACCAGAGTGACCGACACTAATTACACAAACCGATGGGAAAAAAGGTTCTCGAGTGGCAGCCTCGTACCGGTAGGCGATAGTGTAGGGCGACCCCCCACTAGATGGAGTGACGACCTGGTAAGACATGCAGGAAGTCGATGGATGCAGGTGGCTCAGGACCGTGGTTTGTGGCATACCTTGGGGGAGGCCTATGTTCAGCAGTGGACTTGTGAAGGGCTGTAATGATGATGGTGATGACTCAACTGAGAGCGGCAGCATGTTTGAAAAATGTTTATTTAAATATTTTAACGTCTTGTTATTTTAAAAATGTAAAAGGTATCTACAATAAGGGGCTACGATCTTGTGTTCTAATTTCATGTGGAATTATGGGAAACAAATAATTAATACCTGTTACATTATTTACCTGTATAATGCTTTGTACTGCACTTAATATGACTTGATCATGGCAATGCATTAGAACATGGTTAATCTTCATATCGAGAAGACTATGGCTGTAACAAGTCGTAATATTAGTGCAATTGGTTATTTCTTAAAATATGAAAGAATAACATACATAATACACATATACATAAACACTCACGCCTGTCACCCAGAGGGGTAGGCAGAGACTACAGACTTCCATTTGGCACGATCCTGACACACCTCTCTCGCCTCCTTCACATTCATACACCTATGCATACATGCTCGTCGGTTAAGGGTACTCCTAATTTGGCCCGTTTTTAATAAATCGCCAATTTGGTCGATAAATTTTCGCCTAGGACGTCCCTTTCCGACTCTGCCATTCACTTCTGCACCATAAATTTTCTTTGTCACTCTTTCCTCATTCATTCTTTCCACATGACCAAACCACCGAAGCATTCCTTTCTTAATCCTGGTCACAACATCATCTTGCAAACCACACTCTTGAAAGAATAACATTGTTGGAAATACAAAGATTTTAATTTGCAGATTAGTGTAACAAACAGGTCGAATATTTTAAAGTACAAAGTGCCACATATCTCCACATTTTGAGGTCTATACACTCTAATTTTGTAGTTGAAATATTATGATTTGTAATAAAACTTAAAAGCCGTCTCAAAGAACTAGAATGAATAAAGTCATTTCTTCATAATAGATATTTAAGTAATTGATTATTAAGTATAAATATTTCTTTTTATGTCAAGTTTCTAAACGATTAATCGTCATTTTAAGATGTTCTTTTATCATCCACTACACTACACTCAAATAAAAAAGTACTTATATTTCAAATGTTATTGTAACTAGGCAACTAGCAAGCCAAGATGGCGGCATTACACTGAATAAATGACGAAGACTGATTTGTTAAAATTGATTAAATAATTAAAGACATTCAGACCTATTAATTTTATAATATATTCAGAAGTCGGTTCTGAGATAATGAAAATATTAAAGCCTCGACTTCAAAAGCGTAATAAAATATGTGTGGCAATTATTGTATTTTTTTTGTATTTCAAAGTCGGCTTTTGCATTTTACTAAAAGTTAAATTTGTGACCCTTTTATGTGGACTAAGGGGAGGACTAGGTTTATATTTGGTAGAACCGCGACGCAGCTATTAGTATTAGCACGGTTGGGTCGGCTCGACCGAGAAGGGACCACGTTCTCACGGAATACCAACATGAAATAGCAGTAGCAGAAAATAGCGCGTTACATACAAACAAAAAAACATATAGTAAAATTGAGAATCTTTCAGAAATAGAGAACTTTTCAAACAGATTCTGTATCTATATATATATATATATATAACACACACAATTGAAGTGCCTGTTTGTAATGACACAATAACAGTTTTTTACTACACACATATAAGTATATCAGTTTCTGTAACAAAAACACAATTGTGCAAATCTTTGTAAGTTTGTCTGTTTGTTTCAGATAATATACGAAATGGCTGGACTCATTTTGGCGGGACTTTCTTTGGCAGATTTCTAATGTTATAAGGAGTAACTTAGGCTACTTTTATTATGAAATAAATTACACGCCGGCGAAGTCGCGGGTAACAACCAGTTTTAACTATAACTATGTTAGGTGTATGTTCAGTTTAAAAAAAAACTTGAGTGACAAACGAACTAGCAGTCCTCCTGATAGTTAAGCTTCTACTGCAGCAGGCAACTGCAGCCAATTTCAAACAAAGAAGGCTGATGATGGGCTTTCAAAGGTGAGACCGGACTAAGATAGAATGCCTTCAGCCTGCAATTATAACTCTCTATACCGTACAGACTGAAACCCACTAATGCAAACACTACTATATAGCTACAAATATAGACAAGTTTTTAAATAAAAATGACTCGATCACGAATATGATTTGAGAGTGAATGGTAATAGTAACGGCAGACTGAATCGCACCCACATTCATTTTAATTACTAATTAAACTTACATAACTGGGAACACCTTCGGAAATACAACGGAACCCTCTGCTAGATACTGGTATAAAATTCTTATTTCATCTTCATCTGTAAAAATTAAAACATACGTTCAAATAAGAATAAAATACAAAATAAATAAACTTTAACATAAAATTACCCTGGAGTTTATTACTAATGTTTAATCTTTTCTACAAAAATGATTTGGAAACAATTTACCCGTTGTATACTTGACGAGCGTTGCAAGAACTGTGAGCACAAGTGCTTGAGTAGTGAAGTCAGACAACACAGAGGGGTCCAGAAGACTGTTGCTCTCGGGACTTGTGGTGTCTTTATCAGTTGACATTTGCTGAAAATAATAACAACAACTATATATGCACAGTAATGTCACATCACAAACCTATTTTACCAGACTGCCACAGAATAGTATGTATGTCTATTTCTTTGGCACGCTCTGTATCCTAACCATTCAATCCCCCTTCAACCCCAAGCGGTCGCATGCGCCAGACAGATCCCGAGCAGTCACACGCGACTGCACCCACCCACAGCACTTAAAACCATAAAAACTTATATTTAGAGACTACTTTTCTATGAAGTAGTTTGGCATTATAGAATCTATACGAAATTCTCTATCCTATAGTATAAACAAAAGTCAGTTATTCAATGGATTTTCATATTTTAAAGGTCGCATGCGACCGCACCCACCAATCTACCGTAAAATGCACCATTTTCGTATGGTTGGCAAATGGCACAAATTGACAGTAGAATAAAAATCCATAGAGTAACTGACTTTTGTTTAGACCACAAGAATATTACCTCTTCCTGACTCTAAGTCGGTATGTATAAATTATACTATACTATAGGAAGGTATTTGTACCCAACAGAATCAGCTTGTGATTAATTTTTATATAAATAAATGTGTATAAAAATGTACGAAATAACCAAATGGCTAACTCGTATTACTCTCACACATACATTTTATAGTAAGTGTAACAAATCAAGTTATAATCCTAGCCCATATCATAACAATAGCGTGTATTATTTTTCGTACCTTTGTCGAAGATTCGGGGTAATCACTATCTCCAGACTTTGTAGATGAGGGTCTGTCGGTCGCATCATCGGTGCTAACTGGCGAGGCGCGACCGTCGTCTTCCAAGCCCTGTTTCAAATGCGTAATGCTTCGTATCATCTTACACTGTCCATGATTAATATGAAAATAAAAGTGAATTAGTAATAAAATCTAGGATAGTGATGTTAAACTGTCTTGTATAATAAAAAATATAAGGTGTTAACACAACAGTATTCATCAGGGGCATAAAAAGACTTTAGATGTCTTGGATTACACGTAAAAGTGTTAGAAAAGAAGAAATAATAGGGTAAATAGTACGCACATCAAGTCCACTGTCAGCATCTCCGTGTTCCCTGGCCGCTTCCCCGGCCACACCGTGTTGTACGCTATGAGCACGGCCTTCGCTATCCTGCGCGGAACACGCAAGAATTTCGTTGTTATTGTGTTATGTGTCAGTTTACAACTATCGCGGAGGCTGGAAGAAAGGTGCGATCTCGAAATGTTATTGAATATACTATAACGAAATAAGTATACGTGGAGACTGTACAGAGTGAAATATAATCATTGCCGTCCTTTATACTTAGGGTGTATGTCTCATGATGCAAACCACTGGGACTAAAATAACGCAAATCTCTTTGATAACTAAGTAGTAAAAATTCAAAAAGTCTGAAAGTAAGAAAACATTTTAAAATTATATTAATCATTTTTAAAAGACTTTTTTAAAAATTAATCAAAGACGTTAGTGCCTAGTGCCTACGAACATCATTACTCCTCAGAGAACATGATATTTCGTATGTTGTTATTTTTTTTTGTTTTAATAATTTAATTTAAATTATTCCTCAAAATGAGCAGATCAATAGATTCAATCGATGCCAATGACTTGTATAACAGCTTAACTAAAATTAAAATCATAGAAATTAGTTGTCATGATTTCGAAATCGCACAAAGGAAGCAGTGGTGGTACATTTTTAACGAGGAGACATTTTGAAAGCTTGGATTCATAATTCATATATATACAAACATTTCCATCTATTGAAAAACTGCTTTTCAAAAGCTTAAAATCGATATATAGGATACTATGTATGACTAATTGGTTAATTTTAGAAAATCTAAGGCTAGGGAACATCTAAAAAAGCTTTGTGTGCTGTTTTGTTGTGTAAAAATATCATAATATATTAATGTTGGTTGGTTTAATGTAATAGCAATATATTACAAAGATTATTTTTTAAGATAAATTTGGAGTGTAATTGAGAAAAAATTGTTACGTATATCGTATATAATGTTGCATAAAATTACTATTACGGACTTTATCACGTTTTATTAATTTCATCACGTTTACTTTACATTAATAAAGTAAACGAGATGAACTTAGTAAAAGCAATTTTATTTAATTTGAATTGTTCACGAAAATGTAAAATATCATAATCACATCTGAAAGTTTATTAAACGAAATTAAATTTATATTCATGTTAATAGTGTAGTGAATAATTCGGGGTGTCGGAAGTTCGCAATGGGTTAAACCATGCTGGTTTGGTATGCATTTATATATTTCGAATCATCCTAAGGACATAATCACATAACTGTATCGTTATGTGTTTGAATTAGCGTAGCGATATTATTAAATACTAAATACGAAACTATCATGCGTTGTTACGTTTTAATTTCTATTAAAACCAACGCTGCCTAATATAACATCGCTACCCTATTTCTTTTAGAATTTGCAAGATATAAAAGTAAATAACGCCCTCTTCTTTTCGTTCAACTATATCAAGTTAAAATTGAATACTGTAATTAAAATATTTAATTTAAAAAAACAACCGATAATAATGTCCTTAAAACCGAATTTCGATCACGTCGTCAATCTCAACAAATATTGTCTGTACAGGACAAGATTACAGTGCACGAGTGCGTTAGTAAGCTTATGGGCACTGTCTGTTTCTTCAGTTCAGAGAGTGATCTGCTGTAGGACTAAGGGCTTTACCGTTTTTTCGAAGGCACGGGGGTGAAAAACCGCTAAATTCTTGCGCCCGGGCTGCTACAGAAAATTTACTTGATATTCAAATCAGGGATCACTAAAACAACGAGGCAGTTTTAAAAGATATTTTCGTTAAGGCAACATGCAAAACTTCAAAACATGTTTCATCTCACTAAATCTTACTAATATTAATAAATATGTAACGAGGGGAGGTCAAAAAGTTCGCGGAATGGCGGGGTTGGCGAGGGTGAGTTTACTCAATCAGGTGGGCGCTAGTTGAGTGACTCATTGTTAGTATACCAAGTTACCGCCTAATCGCCTAAGTTACCAAGTTTCAGCCTAATCGGGTCACTAACTCTTGAGTTATCAACGTGTAAACAAGTCAATTGGTAATAAACTAGCCACTACGGAGAAAATTTAATATCTCACCTTCATTGAGTTTCTCACGAAATAAGGAAAACAGCTGTTTACGGGGACTCCGCTCCTGGGAAAACCATGATTTATAAATGGCACGCCCTTTTCAAACAAGGGAAGGACTGGGAAGGACTATATTGAAGACGACCCCCGATCTGGACGGACGATTGATAGCCTCAATAGCACGCAAGAAATAATCGAAAAAGTTGAAAAACTTGTATCGAAAGGTGCCCGGCTAAAGAAAAAACAGCTTGTAGCGTTCGTAGGAGTATCAGAAACAACCATTTTAAACATCCTAAATCAACATTTTGACATGACTAAAGTCTGTGCAAGATGCGTTTCGAGGATTATTTCCGCGCATCAAAAACACGAGCGCGTCGAAAGTTGTCCCAAGTTTTTGGACCTCTGCGGAGAGCAAAGGAAGGAAAGTTATGGCCCGAATCGTAACTGGCGGTAAAACTTTGGTTCACCATTATGAACCTGAGTCAAAGCAAGAGTCGATGCAGTGGCATTTTTTACGTGGTAGAGCCATGCTGCAGCTATATTAATTTTATAGTTGTAACACGAATGGGTCGGCTCGATCGGGGAAGGACCACGCTCTCACAGAATACCAGCGTCAAATAGCAGCTTAATGCTGCTGTGTTTCGTATGGTGAGTGTAGAGAACCGGAGACCCTTTTTCCTTGCAAAGAGGCATTCCATTTTAGTCCTCAAGACTGACAACGCATCTTCATTTTGATTCGCAAACGAGGATAGATGTAGATATCTATGGGCCACAGCAACCACTTACCATCAGGTGGACTGTGTGCTCGCTTGACAAGCCTTTTCCTATAAATAAAAAAGGCACACCTACTCCGGTGTCTCAATCGGCCGGAAAGATCATGGCGACGGTCTTATGGGATACAAAAGGTATCCTTTTGATTGATTATAAGAAACGTGGTATTTCCATAACGGCGGAATACTACGCTTCTTTACTGGAGCAAGTCAAAGAAGCTATTAAAGAAAAAAGGCTAGGAAAACTTACAGAAAGCGTGCTCCTTTTGTACTACAATGCGCCCGTGCACACAAGCCATCTTGCGACGGCTGCCATATTTACAGCCCAGATGCGACTATTATTTGTTTCCAAAAATGGCAAAGAAAAAATTTGGCGACGACGATGAAGTGAAGTCAGCAATTTCAGTCTATTTTGACGCCCAAGACAAATCTTTTTTTTTTAGACGGTATTAATAAGTTACTTGACAGATCTAATAAATGTATTAGGGTTAAGGGAGAATACATTGAAAAGGAAAAATAGTTTAATGTTTCATTTCATTATACTTCCCTGTCATTCCGCGAACTTTTTGACCTTTTTTAAAAGTGGTAGAGCCACGCGGCAGCTTTGCTGTTGCACGTATGGGCCGGCTCAAACCGGGGTGGTACCACGACCTCACAGAATACCGGCGTGAAGTGGAAGCTCTGCTTTCGCGTTTCGTCTGGTGAGTGCAGGTGGCCGGAGGCCCAAATCCCCCCCTCTCCCCATCAACATGGTAGCGGAATTAAATGATAGACTACCCCAGGAGGGTACCAGCACCCCTGGAGAATAGCATCACCCATGTTTCTCCACTTCTGAGCGTGGGTGCTCAGGCTGCCCCGCGTATTATGGGGGGGGGGGGGGGGGCAAAATTCCGCTCAAGACTACAACTGCTCGGGGCAAACGGAGCAACAAGACCAAGGCGACCCCTGCCACGCTGTCCGTGAATTTCTGCAATATCAGGGGGACTTCACTCTAACCTAAACGCCGTCCACTACCATCTCGAGACGGCGAGGCCGGCTCTGCTCTTTCTGACCGAGACGCAGGTGTCCTCTCCGGCTGATGTTTCGTATCTATCCTACCCGGGGTACAAACCGGAACACTCCTTTGTGCCTCGGGCTGGAGTTTGCGTTTACGTCAGAGAGGACATCTGTTCTCGACGCCTCGGCAGACTTGTTGGCTACGCGTAGACAGCGACGACCATCCGCGCGTCTACGGGTGCCTTTATAGATCCCATAGCGGTAATGCCGAAACAGACCGACTCTTCGACCACTTCCAAATGGCTGCAGATTCGTTGCTACAGCAGATCCCCTCCGCAGAGATCGTGATCCTCGGCGACTTTAACGCCCATCACGCCGAATGGCTTGGTTCACGTTTAACCGATCATGCGGGGAGATCTGTTCATGATTTTGCCTTGGCATATGGTCTGACACAACTGGTTACTTCGCCTACGCGGATTCCAGATGTGGAGGATCATGCACCTTCCCTGTTGGACCTTCTGCTGACCTCTACACTCGGACGGATATCAGATTTCCGTCAACGCCCCTTTAGGCTCTTCGGACCATTGTCTTGTCCGGAGTGTGGTGCCACTCACGCTGAAATCGCGGTTGCATTATGCAGGCTGCCGCCGTGTTTGGCACTATAGGTCAGCCGATTGGGATGGGATGCGGTCATTCTTTGCATCCTACCCTTGGGGGCGGGTTTGCTTCTCGCCGGACGATCCCAACGTTGTTGCGGATTCTGTCGCTGATGTGGTACTTCAGGGTATGGAACTTTTTATTCCTTCCTCTGTGGTGCCCATTGGAGGCAAATCTCAGCCATGGTTTGGTCGCTCCTGTAAAATAGCATCATGCTATATGCAGGAGTGCTACCGGGCCTGGGCTGACGCATCAGCGTCCCGAGATGTAAATACCAGCGCTCTAAAAAAGAAGTATAATTCCGCCTCTATGTCCTTCAAAAGAGTCATTGCCAAGGCAAAGTCAGAGCACATAGGCAGAATTGGCGAGAAACTAGTTCGCCTTCCTTCTGGAACCCGTGCATTCTGGTCTCTCGCCAAGGCTGTCCAGGGGAATTTCTGTCAGCCATCTCTTCCATCTCTGCACAGGGAGGACGACTCACTGGCCCATACCGCAAAGGAGAAAGCCGATCTTCTAGGCTCTTTCTTTGCGTCTAACTCGACTCTCGATGACGGGGGGAGTACGCCGCCGACCATCCCGTGGTGTGAGTGCTCCATGCCGGAAGTGCAGTTCACACAGCGCTCGGTTCGCAAAGCACTCCTCTCCCTGGACATCCACAAGTCGAGTGGGCCTGACGGAATCCCCCCAATTGTGCTGAGGACGTGTGCTCCAGAGTTGGCACCGGTTTTAACGCGTCTTTTCCGGTACTCCTACTCCCTAAGCGTAGTCCCAAAATCATGGAAGACGGCTATCGTCCACCCGATCCCTAAAAAAGGCGACCGCTCTGACCCGTCCAACTACCGGCCTATCGCCATCACCTCCTTGTTCTCCAAAACAATGGAGTCCATTGTAAACTGCCAGCTCATCAGGTACTTTGAGGATCACCAGCTGATTAGTGACCGCCAATACGGTTTTCGCCGCGGTCGGTCAGCTGGTGATCTTCTGGTCTACCTAACTCACAGATGGGCGGAGGCAGTAGAGTCCAAGGGGGAGGCATTGGCCGTTAGTTTGGACATTGCGAAGGCCTTCGATCAGGTTTGGACAAAGCGCTTCTTTCGAAGCTCCCTTCCTATGGGCTTCCCGAGAAATTGTGCGATTGGATCACCAGCTTTCTTGCAGATCGGAGCATCAAGGTCGTTGTAGACGGTGCAAGCTCCGATTGCAAGCCTATTAATGCTGGTCTTCCACAGGGCTGCGTGCTATCGCCATCGCTGTTTCTTCTGCATATCAATGCTATGTTGCAAACCCGTAACATTCATTGCTATGCAGATGACAGCACTGGTGATGCTCTTTACACCGGTCGAGCCAATATCTCTCGGGAAAACGTCTCCGAGTGCCGGCATAAACTTGTGTCTGAAGTCGAGTCTTTGCTGAACAGAGTCTCGGATTGGGGGCGACTAAATCTAGTCCAGTTTAACCCCCAGAAGACACAAGTTTGCGCGTTAACCGCTAAAAACAACCCCTTTGTCGTATCCCCTCAGTTTCAAGGCACTCCCCTTGTTGCCTCAGCCAGTATTGGAATTCTCGGCGTCGACATATCGAGTGACGTGCAGTTTCGTGGTCACTTGGAAGGGAAGGCCAAATTAGCCTCTAAAAAGCTTGGCGTGCTCAGCAGAGCAGGACAGTATTTCATGCCGGCACACCGCCTGCAACTTTACAAGGCGCAGGTTCGGCCGCACATGGAATACTGTTCCCATCTCTGGGCTGGGGCTCCCCAGTACCAGCTCCTTCCACTTGACCTCATCCAGCGCAGAGCGGCTCGAATCGTCGACGACCGAGTGCTTTACGATCGGCTCGTTTCACTGGCATTGCGAAGAGATGTTGCATCTCTTTGCATTTTCTTTCGCATATATCATGGAGAGTGCTCTGGGGAATTGTTCGGATTAATCCCAGCCGCCAAATTTCGTGAACGCACTACGCGGCAAACGTCCCGATACCATCCACACCATCTGGATGCTTGGCGGTCCACCACTGACTACGTTTCAAAAGGAGTTTTCTTCCGCGTACAACCTTTCTGTGGAATAGTTTACCACCGGCGATTTTTCCGGACCGATACGACCTGGGGACCTTCAAGAAAAGAGCTTACTCCTTTCTAAAGGGCCGGCAACGCACCTGCAATTCCCCTGGTGTTGCGGTTGATCATGGGCGGCGGTAATCACTTAACATCAGGTGAGCCGCATGCTCGTTTGCCCCCTCTTCTATAAAAAAAATAAACCTCCCTTCGTATATTTGTTTTGAAGTTTGTACTTAAATCGTGTTTCAACGGGAGGGCTAATTCTAATGAAATTTGGCATTACATCGTGGGAAACACTTGTTACTAAAATATAATTTACGTCTAGTGACGTAATAAAAATTTAGAAATCGTAGCGGATTATTAATTTAAAAAGAAATTTATTTAGTTTTTCTATTAATTAGCCGAATTTAAAAAAAAAGGAAGAGGTTCTCAATTCGACTGTATATTCTTTTTTGTATGTTATATACATATACATACGCAATATCATCGTCAATTGCAAACAGATTTAGTGATACACATATTAATTAGGCTATACTTCAAGTGTGCTCAAAGATAAGATAAATTTTTACAGACAGAAATTACAATTACGGAGTAGCAGTGAAGAACGCCTTTAAAGACTTCATAGGTCCTCGTGCAAAACGACTTATATTGCAACACACTGGCCATACAATGACGAGAATGTATATGTAATAAGCTAATAAGTTTGAACAAATATTTTGATTTATTGTGAATAAAAAATATTTATATTTCCCACACAAAACAGCAATTTCATAGGTAAAAACCCGATATATTGTAACATTCTTGCCTTTTAGTAACATTCTGATAAAGATTTTATGGTTGGAGTTATCAGGTATAAATATTTATATAACTTATATTTATCGAACATAGGTACATAATGTAAAAGTTTTCATTGTTTTCAAAGATGTAAATGGGATTTCATTGCAAATTCTAAAGGATATACTAAAATAATTATATTATACTTATTACCCGTGGAGCACCAATCGTATCTTTTGAAGTGGGCACGGAGAAGGATCGTTGCGTCTTAAAAAGCATTCTAGCTGACGTCTAAGGAATTCAAAGCAGTGCAAAAGCGAGTAAAACATTCGTTATGGGGAATGACGTGAAATAAATTTATTGTACGCATACAAACGATAAATGGATCAACCAAATCCATACAAGTTGCATGAAAAAACACAATGCGATATAGTAGAATGATTCAACAGAGCGACAGTACTGTAGTAATTAGTTACTGAAAGAAAAAGTATTTGATAGTTTCATATAATACGTGAAAAAATTCTGTAAGCCCGTAGTAAATATTTACACACTATAAATTAAAAAAAATTAATAATTGTATCGCTTATAAATTTTTCCACGTATAAAAATTTACTGATAGAAAGAAAGAATGATGGAATGTTAATAATAGGTAGGTATAATATAGTATAAGCATTGTGGTTTTGTCACCTCTTTTCTTATAGTAGAATGTTTATCTAATAAATAAACATACTTTTTATAAATATAATTTTTTCGATAAATCTTTAAATTACTATTTACATGAGATCGTATAGTAATTTATATACTTTTAAAACATATTTTTAACGTCCTGCAAAATAACCGACCTGTATAACCTGTAATAAACCTGTTTAAATTTTTTCTCATATCAGTAAAAATTATAACTATTTAAATACATTCTTTAAGTATTATTTTACTTTAATACTTCTTTTACGAGAACTGTATAACACCACGTTGCTTCACTGTTGGCATTGACATAAAATGCCCATGAATATATTATATAGTATGCATCTTCATGATTTCCCTAAACATAAAACATCTAGGAATTTCGTACTTCAGATGTACAATATACATGTTATGAATTATGATCTGAATCTTAAAAAGAAAATTGCTCTGCTTATAGTGTATATAAAATATAAAGCAATTATAAAATTTACAAATCAACAAAACTTTTTATTATTACTTTTATTTTTATGTCTGATTTGAAGTTGAAATATCTGATGAAACTTCAGTTAAGTAAAAATATAATCGCTTTTACAATTCTTATTTTTTTTTTTGTAGTAACAGGCCGCAGCTTTATTCAAGTTATTAATTTTTACAAGTTGATGATTTGTTAATATACTTTGAAAAATATACTCCTATTTTTTACCCATTCAGAAATAAGACTAAGAAAAGAAATATAGACAATAATAATTCAAAATAAAGTACAGTATATATGATATTCGAACGTGAATACTTTGAATATGAAACTCCTGTAGCAACACAGACTTATTTACGCAAATTTCGCGGCCATTTCTTTCACTACACACTGACAAACTAAATCATAAAAATATGAAATTTAGAAAAGTATTAACGCAATGAATATTGCGAATATTTTGTCAACTGAATACTAAATATGACAATTGGTACCTGGTGTGAAATGCTCATCATGTGCGGACTGTGGCCGCCGCTGCTTGAATGTTGTAGTGTTGGGGATTTACCTGTGGGTTATTAATAGTGAATTCATTAATTTAAAGATGCATTTAACAGGATTTATTTGCGGTTTAAAACTCTTAAATAAAACCCTTACGTTTATGCTTTTTCTAAAATCTGATGTTAAATTACTTGCCAGCCTGGCCGATAGGATTTTTAGTACTAATTTTGCACAGTTAAACACAGTGCTACACAGTTACACACAGTGTTACACAGTTAAACACAAACACTGTGTTTAATTAGTTGCTATAAGTAAATTTTATACACATAGTAATAATAATAATAAGTGTCCTCCAGATCGTCCCGATCGCCGATCACGGTCGCCAGCCATAACAGAGTCAAGTCATCTTCTCAGGACAGGATTACAGTGCACGAGTGTGTGCGCAAGCACAGGTGCACTCTCTATTCCTTCACTCTCATAATCAGATGGGACGGTAAACCGACACGACCGGAGAGAGATCAGGCGCAGGACCAATGGCTATACGTGTTTTCCGAGGCACGGAGGGGAGACACCGCCATCTTCCGAACTTCGGGCAGCTATTGAGCATTTCTAGAAGGAAAAACTCAATAATTTTTTTGGGTCCGAACCGTGATTCGAACCCAGGACCTCATGATCAGCAGTCGTACTACTACAACCACTAGAGCAACGAGGCAGTCATTACACTAATAACAACTCGGTGACCAACGATGCGGTGCACCCAGATGACTAACGAAGGTCTTTAAGGCTCAAAGATCTAATCATCATCATCATCATCATTACAGCCCTTCATAAGTCCACTGCTGAACATAGGCCTCAGATCACGGTCCTGAGCCACCTGCATCCATCGACTTCTTGCATGTCTTACCATCACTCATGTCATCACTCCATCTAGTGGGGAGGTTTTTGCCCCATCGGTTATCGGTTCTTCGGCTATATTGCTGGCCCATTAGCACTTAAGTTTACTAATCCGTTAAACTATATCGGTCACTCTGGTTCTACTGCGGATATTCACATTCCTAAGTTTATCACGCACAGAAACTCCGAGGGTAACTCTTACTATAGCTGAGCGACTTTGAACTTCCTAATACGGCCAGCTTCACTGCAGGACAACGAAGGACAACGTCTCGGACTATTTGTCCCAGGTAAATACTCGTCTACAACTTCAAGCTTAGTGCTCCTAACAACTGCCGCCATAGGTGTGACATGGACGTTACATATGACCTTTGTTTTGTCTAAGTTTATCTTAAGACCTATCCGTTGGGGGGCACTATTGAGATCATTGAGCATAGTGCTTAGGTCCTCCAGCGATTCAACCATGAGGACTATATCGTTGGCATATCGAAGGTGAGTGATGTACTCGCTATTGATGTTAATACCATATCTTTAATGTTATCCAATCCAGTAGCTTGAAAACGTCTTCCAATGCAGCGGTGAAGAGTTTCGGGTATATAACGTCACCCTATTTTACACCTCTCTGCAATTGGATAGGTTTTGTACTCTGGTTCTGTACTCTGATAGCCATCGCAGCCCTACTGTATAAACACTTCAACACTTCGATATAGCGACAGTCAACTTGGAACCACTGAAGGGAGTGTAGCACCGTCCAAATTTTGACGGAATCAAAGGCTTTCTCATAGTCCACATAGGCGGACAAAGTGGCAGATTGTACTCTTTGGTCTTGTGTACAATTTGCCGAAGGGTATGTATATGGTCTATGGTACTAAAGCCTATTCGGAAACCCGCTTGTTCGGCAGGTTGAAAGTCGTCGAGTCTACATGCCAGACGATTCGAAACTAGCACTTAGAAGCGGCGCAAAAGGGAAATGTAGTTCTTCAAGAGAGCGTTGTCACCTTTTTTGAAGAACAAGACCACCGCACTTCAGTTCCACGCCGTTACTCACACTTGCGTGTAACTCCAACGATGACGTGTACAGTTGCCTGTAGAACCTCTCAATCTCACTCAAATTCTCAGGTCCCGGAAACGATGTTGTCACACTCAGTCTTCAGCTTTGACAGTTAGCACTTTCTGGCAGCCAGATCTCTGGCAAAGACTTTGGAGCCGTGGTTCCGCTGGATCACTTTTTCAATACGAGACGTATTGAAGTAGCGTAAGTTCCGCAGCATGCATTTAGAGCTCTGTCTGTTGAGTTGCCCGTATGTTGTCAAATCTGCTGAAGACTGTCATCATCATGTACACTGACTGCATCACTCTATAATAGGTCAAAGTCTGTAGTTACACCTGCAATCACATAAAAATTAAAATTTAAAGAAGTTCTATTGTTGATTGAAACTACTTTTACGGATTTTATCGCGTTTAATTTTACTTTTAATTATTTTTATTTTTAATTCCCGACGTTCCACGAACGACGAATTAAAAATAAAAATAATTAAAAGTAAAACTGGGGCTATGACCACCTATTCCTAGGCCCACCCTACACGTGTCCCCCGGGTGGTGCTAAATGAGCGACAAGCCGATACCACAGACTTGGCTCCACGCCGTGGTAGCGGCGTAAAACATACTACCTAATATTTTCGCTCCATGAGGAACTATATAAAAGAAATGGCCCCGAGTTCCCGGCGCCCCTTTAATGGGGCAGGGGTGCGAAGAATCTCCGGGAGGAAAACCGGCGACGAGGTTCGCCACCCGTCACTTTCTGTCTCCCGGAGAGGCGAAAAGTGGATTGCAGAGGCCCGTCTGGCTACGTTGAATGTATGTGGGGCAATGAATGATAAAATTGATGAAGTATACGATATGATGTATGATAGAGGAATAGATGTGTTATGTGTAAATGAGACGAAAAGGAAGGGGAGGGATGTCACTACACATGGCATGTATACCGCATACTGGTCTGGTGTGGACGAGATCGAGCGGGCATGCCAGGGAGTAGGTATCATCCTTTCAGAAAGAATGGGCCAATGTGTGAAAGAGTATGAATGTGTAAGCCCAAGACTGCTATGGATACGAATGAAAGTGGGCTTAAAGAAGTTGTTTGTGTTAGGGGTCTACGCCCCAGACATGTCTAAGCCCACTTATATCCGAGAGCAGTTTTGGGAAATGGTAAGGATGGTGTTAATGAAGTGTAAGGGAAATGAAAATATTATTATGCTAGGAGATTTTAATGGAAGGGTTGGGGTGAGGAGGCTTGGTTATGAAAGGATATTGGGAACGTTTGGTTATGAAAGTATAAATGAGAATGGTGAAAGTCTCCTCACCGTATGTATGGAAAAGAATCTTTTTGTGACAAACACATGCTTTCGCCACAAGAGGATTCACATGTATACTTGGGAAAGAGGTGACGATAGAAGCATGATAGATTTCATAATTGTGGATGAAAGATTGAGGGGCGCAGTGGTGGATACAAGGGTTTACCGGGGTTCTAACGTAGGAACGGATCATTATTTGGTTTTATGCCGAATTAATGGTCTATTCAGGCGTTGGCGCCATCGATCATCTGTGTCTACCACTGCGTTACAGCGTATTAGAACAGAAAGGTTACAAGATGAAAGTGAGAAAAACAAGTTCAAATGTAGACTGAAAGAAAATATAAGTGGTTTGGATGAATTATGTATGAAGGAGTTAGACTTGGAGAATGTATGGCAAAATGTAAAGAAAGGTTTAGTGGATGCAGCTACCGAAGTATGTGGTGTTAGTAAGAGGAAGAATGAAAGGAAAAATAATACATTATGGTGGGATGATGAGATACGTATGGAAGTTGAAGCAAAGAAGAGAGCATGGCTAGATTTACTAGCAACAAAGGCTGGTAATTCTAGCGGTACGAATGATGATATTGAAAGAAAAAAGGCAGTCTTTAAACATCTTAATAAGAGAGTAAAAGAAGTAGTTGAAAGAAAAAAGCAAGAAAGAACGGATAAGAATGATAGAAGAATATCGGATAACTTCCAGGCAAATATTAAAATGTTCTAGAAACTTGTAAGAACTGCCAGGGGACATTCAAAACAGCCTATGATGAATGTTATAAGAGACGAGAATGGCTATATTCTGAAAGATGAAGTTTTGAGTTTAAAGAGATGGAAGGAATATTTTGAAAGCGTGTTTATGAGTGAGGAGACAACGTGTGTACTAAGTGAAGTAGAAACTACGAAAGAAGAGGAAAGAGGTAGCGAGATAAGTATAGATGAAATAATGAAAGCAATGAAAAGCATGAAAGCAGGTAAGGCTGCCGGATATGATAAGAGTTTCACTCGAAATGCTAAGGGCTGGAGAGGAAGTCGTGGCAGGCCTGCTGCACACCTTGTTTAATTTATGCTAGTAACTGAAGCGGGTACCGGTAGACTGGTGCAAAGCCGTGATAGTCCCAGTATATAAAGGAAAAGGGTCGCAGCAGGACTGTAAAAACTACCGCGGCATCAGCCTTCTTAGCATTGTGGGAAAACTGTATGCTAAGGTACTGATTGAAAGGGTCATGAAAGAAACTGATGGAAAAATTTGGGATGTGCAAGCGGGATTCAGAAAGGGAATGGGATGTACAGATCAAGTCTTTTCCATGCGCATGATCGCGGAGAAGTTTTTGGCCAAAAACCAAAAGGTTTTTTGTGCGTTCATGGACTTGGAAAAGGCCTATGACAGAGTGGATAGGGATGTGCTATGGCAAACACTGAACTCATTTGGGTTGAGCGCTGGCTTGATACAGGCATTGGAGCCTCTTTATAGGGACTCTAGTGCTTGTGTTAGGATCAACGGGGTCTACTCGGACTGGTTTGACATCCATAAAGGTGTCATACAGGGCTGTGTGGCTTCCCCGTGGCTGTTCAACCTATTTATAGACAGTTGTTTGTAAAATTTGAAAGTTGAAGAATGCGGATTAAGAATGGGTGAGTTAACCGTCAAATGCCTTTTGTACGCCGATGATCAAGTTATCCTTGCGTCGTCGGCGACCGAGTTGCAAATGATGGTTACATTAATGAACAGATCATTAAAAGAAAGGGGTATGAAGGTGAACGCAAGTAAGACGATGGCTATGGTTTTTGAAAGAGAAGAAAGTAAAACGATTTGTGAAATAAGAATAGAAGGGGAGTTGATCGAGCAAGTAGATGAGTTTGTATATTTGGGCTGCGTATTTAGCAGGGATGGGAGATATGATAAGGATATAGAACGACGAGTGAATGCGGGAAATAGAGTAAATGGGGCCCTGCACTCTATTGTGAAGAGTCAAAATGTGTCAAAAAAGGCACGTATGGCAATTCACAATGCTGTGTTGGTCCCCACTTTAACGTATGGTAGTGAAAGTTGGGTGTGGCAGAAGAAGCACGAGAGTAGAATCAACGCAGTAGAAATGCGGTCCTTAAGGAGTATGTTAGGGCTGAATCTGAACGACAGGGTAAGAAATTGTGTAATAAGAGAAGAGTGTGGTTTGCAAGATGATGTTGTGACCAGGATTAAGAAAGGAATGCTTCGGTGGTTTGGTCATGTGGAAAGAATGAATGAGGAAAGAGTGACAAAGAAAAATTATGTTGCAGAAGTGAATGGCAGAGACGGAAAGGGACGTCCTAGGCGAAAATTTATCGATCAAATTGGCGATTTGTTGAAAACGGGCCAAATTAGGAGTACCCTTAACCGACGAGCATGTATGCGTAGGTGTATGGATGTGAAGGAGGCGAGAGAGGTGTGTCAGGATCGTGCCAAATGGAAGTCTGTAGTCTATGCCTACCCCTCTGGGTGACAGGCGTGAGTGTTTATGTATGTTATGTTAAAAGTAAAATTAAACGCGATAAAATCTGTCAAAGTAGTTTCAATCAATGTGTAGTGTTCGCATAAATATAAGAAATCATTAAGTTCTATTGTCCCTCACCGCCATGTGCATAGGATAACGCCACTTGGTCAAGCATGTCCCAGGATTTCAGTCGACGACTGTGGCAAGACGAGTGTGTGGACGATTGCGGCTGAATCAGCATCGATGACTGTAAATTTGAGTTAATTATATCTGAATTATTTTACACGCGATAGAGTTAACTACAGTTATATTATGCTTGTCCTACGATTAGGTCGGTTCGACCGGAGAAGGACCACGCTCTCACAGAATACCTGCGTAAAGTTGTAGTTATACGCTGCTCTATCGCGTTTAGTAAGTGCAGATAACAGGAGACCCTTTTTACTTGAAACGAGGCATTCTACTTTAGTTTTAGGAATGGCATCAAATCTGCATTTTATTTCTTAATGGAGGATACATTAAAGTGTCCATGGGTCACATCACTCAATTACCTTCAAGTGATGTGCTTGTTTGTCATCATTTTTCTATAAAAAAATATCTGAACAATGGTTCACTCTGCAGGCCATCCCTGGAACTTCCCCCTTATTTTCGAGCACAGCGCTCGAAAATCTATTAAATTTTTAAGTTCGAAACGATTGAGATGTTTAAAAGGCTTTAATTTTTGAACGCGTCATTCAATTTTGACTTGCTCGGCGCCATTTGACGCAGTTTTTTAAGTACTAAAGTTGTTTTTAAGTCTTGAGTCAATGATCAAAGAATTTAAAAGTTATCTAAAAAAAACGATTATTTAGAAATTTTTAATTGGCAATAATTTTTGAAAGCGTCGTTCGATTTTGACTCGCTTGACGGCATTCGACGCAATTTTTTAAGTATAAAAAAAGAGTTTCTGATGTATGGATTTGATCAATCCAATATTTTAAAAGTTATTAAGAATTTAAAAGTTATCTAAAAAAAACGATTATTTAGAAAATTTTAATTGGCAATAATTTTTGAAAGCGTCGTTCGATTTTGACTCGCTTGGCGGCATTCGACGCAATTTTTTAAGTATAAAAAAGCGTTTCTGATGTCTGTATTTGATCAATCCAAAATTTTGAAATTTATTAAGAATTTAAAAGTTATCTAAAAAAACGATTATTTAAAAAATTTTAATTGGCAATAATTTTTGAAAGCGTCGTTCGATTTTGACTCGCTTGGTGGCATTCGACGCAGTTTTTTAAGTATAAAAAAATGTTTCTGATGTCTGGAATTAATCAATCTATATTTTGTAATCAATATTTTGAGAGTTATTTAGAAAAACTTAACTCGAAGTCGCAATGAAAACTTTCGAACGCCGTAGCCCATTCTGATCGGATGATTCATTCTAAATATATCTTACGACAAGATTCTATTTACATACATACATAAATGACCAGCCGAGAATAGCCTGAACGGCTTCCTAGGACCTCAAAACGTGGAAATCTGATCAAATCTGTAACTTTCTACTGTAGAAAATTAATCATTCAATTTCAAAGCGGAAAGATAAAAATCTACAAGCTGAGATAAAATGAAGGTTTTAAATTGTGATGACGAATTAGCAATTGGGTAGTTGACACCACCATTTAAAAATTGTTTTCTATCTTAAGTAAAATTAGATTTTTAAAGAGCGATATAATACAAATATAATTGTAAGAGCTGCGACGGGACGCGACGTGATCGGTTGATAGTAAATGATAGTCAATACTGGAAAGTTGATAATTGGTAGTTTATTGATAGAACTAACTAAATCTAATTTAAGGATAGATGGAAAATGATACTGCGAGCACGCGTGACCGGTATTGCTGGGCTCAATTAGCGCACTGACTCAAAATGCATTTTGTAGCGTAATCTGCCGACCCCACAAAAAAGTACGTGCTGCAGCCCGTACAATAATAATTTAAAGAAACATAAGAACCGTCTGTACGTTTGTTAGACATACCTGGAGATGTTCAGCGGTTGGGCAGTAATGGTCACAGTTGTCAGGCAGCCACTTTGGAAGGGAATGCTTCACATGACATCGCGACCTAACTTCTTCGCTAACGCATACCAACGCTAGAAAATAAATTGAACTGTAATAATGAGAACTATTAATAAAAGTTTTATACGTGGTAGAGCCATGCTGCAGTTATATTAGTAGTATAGTTGTAGCACGAATGGGTCGGCTCGACCGGGGAAGGACCACGCTCTCACAGAATACCAGCGTGAAATAGTAGCTTAATGCTGCTGTATTTCGTATGATGAGTGTAGAGAACCGGAGACCCTTTTTACTGGAAACGAGGCATTCCATCTCAGTCCTCACGGGTGACAACGCATCTGCATTTTGATTTTTAATGGAGGATAGATGTAGATGTCTATGGGCCGCAGCAACCACTTACCATCAGGTGGACTGTGTGCTCGTTTGTCACCTTATTCTATAAAAAAAAAGTATTACTTAATTTGTACAGACAAAATGATTTTCAATTTTCATTGCATCGTAATAAAAACAAAACTTATCAACTGGATGTTGTAATGACGATAGAATATCTGCTACAACCATCACAATATATTGTTGCAGTTTAGTGATTATAGCGATTGCTGGCACGACCAGTGGTGCTTGGAGTGCATGTGTATCGGAGTAAGGGCACCGGTGGAGTAGACTACGTTGGCGGGCGCCACGTGGAATTTGTGATGGCGGCGCACGGCGGTGACAGCACGCGTGTGTAGTGCGATGAGAGCGTCACCTACCGGTGAGGTAGACTACGGTGGCGGGCGCCACGTGGAATTTGTAAATCAGTTCGCTAATACAAACAAGCCGGCACGCACACATGCACACTATATTAAGTCTACCGCCCGCCATATGCTCCAATCCGCGCTCGCGTAGTTACTCACACAGTTTAACGGCCGCAATTGCGGTGCGTCAAGTAACTGTGTAGTCAAGTGCGTGTGTAGTGTGTAGTGCGATGAGGGCGCCACCTACCGTTGAGGTAGACTACGGTGGCGGGTGCCACGTGGAATTTGTGATGGCAGCGCACGGCGCACGGCGGTGACAGCACGCGTGTGTAGTGTGTAGTGCGATGAGAGCGTCACCTACCGGTGAGGTAGGCTACGGTGGCGGGCGCCACGTGGAATTTGTGATGGCGGCGCACGGCGGTGACAGCACGCGTGTGTAGTGTGTAGAGCGATGAGGGCGCCACCTACCGGTGAGGTAGACTACGGTGGCGGGCGCCACATGGAACTTGTGATGGCGGCGCACGGCGGTGACAGCACGCGTGTGTAGTGTGTAGTGCGATGAGAGCGTCACCTACCGGTGAGGTAGACTACGGTGGCGGGCGCCACATGGAATTTGGATGGCGGCGCACGGCGGTGACAGCACGCGTGTGAGCATGAGGGCGCCACCACCTGTAGCCTGGCGGGCGCCACATGGAATTTATGATGGCGGCGCACGGCGGTGACGGCACGCGTGTGTAGTGTGTAGTGCGATGAGGGCGCCACCTACCGGTGAGGTAGGCTACGGTGGCGGGCGCCACGTGAAATTTGTCGTGGTGGCGGCGCGCGGCAGTGGAAAGCAGCGCGGCCAGCACGCGACATGTTCGCGACACGGTGGCCGCCTGCGGGTGCCGGTAGCCCTTGATCAGGTGCCCCACCAGCGCGAAGTGGAAGTTCGACCGGAAGCTGCGCCCAACAAAACAGACTGCTTAAAGCATAACCCACACACCAGCGGTACCGGAACTAACCACGAGCCGCGGCTCCAGTGGCTGCAAAACACACCACCGCAGTCACAATGGCGGCCTGAAGCGCCATTCACTGTGGTGTCTGTGCTACGATCGGACGTCAGTAAACATGAATAACCGTAACAAAGTGTTATTATTGCGATGAAAAAAGTAAAACATTCAGTACTTAAGCGATATATGTAATCCGCGATAATAATATTTTGGTTTTAATCCTAATGTTTTTAAAATCACGGTGTGAGGTATCATAAAGTACTGGATAATTTTATTTCGATGGGCCTTGCAAATATCCAATGTCATACGTTAGATATTTGCAAGGTTATTGTTTTAAACGATTGTTTCAACTAAAAACTTTTATCTTTAGAATCGTTGTGATATCAAAATCAATGAAACGAAAATACGACACTAAAAATATTCAAACATACTTCTATAGTATTTAGCATGCTAGAGAATGAGAACACAGTAGCCTAGCAAGCGACAGTAGCCTAATGACGGGATGCGGACTGCGAACTCAAAAGGTTGTGTGTTCGAAACCGCCATTCAACTACTGTCTGATAATGAACCACTCTTAACACGAGCTTTTTCAGTTTACTATTAGTGGTTAAAGGGAATATGTTACACAATGCTGTCAATATAAATTTTATCTCTTAAAATAAACAGTACAAAAATTAACAAATTTATTAAATAGGTAAGTAAAATTAACCATATTGAATAAAATTGTCATAATATCCAATCCATTCACAACATTTACGTTATGAATGGATTGGATATTATGAGCATATTATAAATGTTAGAGCGTTTATACTCGTATAAGTAGCGTATAAGTTCCACCTTGAGAACAGTTAATCAATTTTTGTTCGATAAAATTACTTTACCTATGGAATGAAAAAGATAGCGCTATTAGAATTATACTTTAAAAAAATTCTTTTGACTTATTCTTATTACACCCAAATTTAGTCTAAAAATAAGGATTTAAAGTATTTGATATATAAGGATTTAAAAAATATTTGCTATAAAACTGAACTTTTATGATGTATTTTATGCCGCACTTGTGTTGATTATTTATTATTATTAGTTGATTATTGTATTAAATAAATAATTTGTTTGTGAAATATTTATATTTTAAATTTCATTTCAATTGAAAGATTCATTTTACCGCGTGTAAATTGCACACATGTTTTATAATCGCTCGTTTGCTTCTTGCAACCACAGTTGCAAAAACAGAATCCTTAACTTTGCTCTTTGCAACTGTGGTTGCAAACTTGCAAAGCGTCGAAGTTCTTTTTAATTGAATTAAGACCATATTTTAAACGCACAGTCTAACTATTACGTATTAAAACCAAAGACAAATATATAAATCACAGATTTGGATCAAAACTACCAACCTTTTGGACGAAAAATATTGAAACTTTGTTAGTTAAACTTTAGTGAGTGAAGTAACGCTTGAGTGGATTTAACGAGGTGATAAAATATGCCGTGAGTATTGAATTTTATTGATTTTTGCTAGTATTTATATACCAAATTAAAATTTTATTAGTGTTTTCTTATATTAAAGTAATATTTTTGCAAATAGTGTATGAAAAATGTGATAAAGTCGACCTTTAAAAATACTCAGAATGACGCGAATCTAAACATAATTTTCTATAGCTTACATTATCGTAATTATGCTGTATTCTTTAAATATGAAATAGTCGTAGTGGTATTTGAATACAATTATTCAATTTAAGTAATAAAGTTTCATAAATTGTTCATCATATTATAATATAGGTTTTTATGTAATAACAGCCTAGATTGATACTAACAAATAGCAATCAATTGCGCAATCCGTGAATTCTTCATCGTGTTTCACTTAATATTTTTACTATGTATTTAAATATAAATAGTTTTATAATATAGATAATTATATCAAGTAATTCATTAAGTTTAAGGATATAATAAATAATAATACACTTATCGATCTTATTTTTTTGATAAACCCGATGTTTTACAAAAAGTCGCTAAAATGGCTTGTACTTGTGATTTCAACACCTCTAAAATATTATTTTAATCATATTTTGAAAGAATAACATACGTATTTTCTTCTTATTTCAATGGCTATTTAATTAAAAATTAAAATATTTGAAGTGCTACTCTCGAGTAAGTCATAAATTAAGTTTTATTGACGGCGGGTCGAACGTGAGAAACACAGTCCTGATTACTGGCAAACTAAGCTACCCTTTTTTGTACTCAAGCAATCGAGCGGATAAAATTGACACTTTTTAAATTAAATTGTACGTGAACACTGCGCTTACCTTAAAGTATTTTACTTCAAATTATCTAAATTTGAATCAAAGTTAGAATTTTATTGAGATTGACAACAAAAACATACTGGTTGGGAGGCGGGCCTAGGGATTTCCGAGTTCGATTCCCAGAACGAGCCTTGACCCTATTGTGCGAGATGTTATACTAGGTGGACTGTATACGCGGTTGGTTTCTAAAGCCTAAAAAAGATGGCGGAAGTGGCACGCGACAACCTTGGACAATGCACTCGCTCTTCCAAATCTATTGCTTGCCAAGGTTAGGATGGAATTGGAAACAAAAAGCTCAAGTAGCAAAATAATTGGAGAAACACTTACCGGGGTGTGATTCTGATGCTGCGGACGAAGCTTCCGTTGCGGTGATGCAACGTGAGGTGGTTTCTTCTGGAGCGCCCCAGAGATACGATAAAGGCTAACGGTGCGAAGGAAGAGAGCGGTGCGCGAAGATATCTCACACTTACTCGGGGCGCGACCCAAAAAGTGTGCACATATCTCACACTATGTGAGGCGGTTACTTCTGGGGCGCGACTGCCCCAGGTGTTGCGATTCAGACTAGCGGCGCGAAGGCAAGAGGGCTCTCGAGGGCAGCGCGCGAGGCTTTATTGTCTCGGCTTTCCCACCAATTCACCTCGGTGGGGCACGCGTTTCATTGGTCGAAAGAATCGCGTCACCTTCTAGACCCCCTCCCCCCTTTCCCATTTCAGTGTGTACGGAAGGGACATGAGGTTAAAGGAAGAACAAACACTTGGCAAACATACCCTCGAACAAAATTATAATACACAAATCATTTCCGCGTAACCACCCCCCCCCCGGCTTGAAGGGTCCCCTTCAAAATAACTAACGCTAAGATTGAGCCTAATTTTCGACTATTTCTACTCTAGAAAGCTAATTCAAACTATTAATTGGGCAAGGGGCACAAACGGACAACAGGGCGCATGTAAGACCCAGTCGTGGTCCTAACGCGAGCTACCCTAGTTACCCCGTCGGAACCGGGTATAATAGTTGTGATACGAGGTCCACTATTAACAGACTCCGAGTGGTTTAGTGGCGAAGAAATTAAACTACTATTTTATGTGTAGACGAACGGTGTATGGAGTACGGAATAAGGAATATATTTTACGTCAACCCTGCCTATATTTATATGTCCGGCTACGTCGCTAGTTTACCAATAATAACAATTTTTATTTGCCTAGCCAATTACAATTCTTACTTTATGACCAATAAAGATTAATCAAAATACAACTATTATGTGCGTTCCATTTGCCGGCGTGAGACACGTGTATATCTTCTCGTAGCTACATCGCTGGACTGGGCTATAAAAGTTGTGCAGGCCGGCGCGCGCGCGTAAAAAAAAAAAAAAAAAATCCTTATTATTAATATAAATTATACCAATCCATTTTTTTTTTTTTTTAAATTTTCCTCCTTTTTTTTTTTTAAAAATAAAAATTTAATATTTTATAATTAAAAAATAATATTTTATTTTTTTAAAACCACACAAAAAAAAAAATATAAGTTACTAAAATATATAAAAAAAAAGAAAAAAAAAAAAAAAAAAAAATTATCATAGCTAAAACCACACAAAAAAAATTTTGGTCCCCCCCCCCCCCCCGCGAACGGCGGCGGCGTGGGACACAGCTCCGGAACAGGAAGAAGAAGCGATGCTGCGGCGTTGAAGAAACGGCTTCAAAAATAGTCGACGGATACATACCGATAGCGGCGTGAGAAGACGATATGGCGCTGAACGATATTTGCGGCTTTCTGTTTCTTTATTAGAACGTTAGTTATCATAGTAATAAGTAGATAACGTAGTATCTCAGTAGCCGGAGATAATTAGAAAATAAATGTTTTCTTCGCCTTCTGTGTTATGGTAGCAGCAGGGTATATATTATTTAGGGTTGATTAGCCTGGCTGCTACATCACTCTCCCCCTAGCGAAAGCGTACCGGAGGCTTGACGACTCGCCCGTATCTCGTAATTTTTAAAATAGGTTTCAACTGGGTTGATGTAGATGATGGATTTTCAAGCTTCCTCGCTGGTGGTTGTGATGATGATGATGAATCCTCTGAAGTATCCTCGTTAATAATATAAGCAGGCTTTAGTCAGTCGATCGATATAATTGTAGATTTCCTTCCGGGTATTCGTAATTTAAAAGTCTTGCTATTTCGCTCTAATACTTTATACGGTCCATCGTAGGTAGGTTGAAATTGTTTTTTTACTGCGTCGTTTCTTACAAAAACTTGCTCGCATGTTTTCAAATCTTGATGAATGAATACTGATTTATTATTTCCATGTGATGATGTGCATTTCGACGATAAGGCTTTGTTGATTGATTCTCGAAGTTGAGTTACAAAATCGTAATCCATTTCTTGATTGTTTGACGATGCTGAAGTGAAGAAGTCACACGGTAGTCTTATGCTGCAGCCGTAGGTTAGCTGAGCGGTACTAAGACTAGTGTCTGCACGCGGTGTTGCTCGTAGTCCGAGTAGCACTGTAGGTAGCTCATCAATCCACTTTGTATGTTGAGATAAACGAGTTTTAAGTGCGGTCTTCAATGTACGATGCCATCGTTCGATTATTCCGTTTGACTGAGGATGGTACGCTGTTGTACGTGTATTCTGAATTCCCATAGTTTGAAGAAGTTTGAGGAA